TGGATGCCTGAAACTTCAGATAGTACTGAACCCTATACATAGTATGTTTTCTCTTATACATACATACCTATGATAAAGTTTAATTTATAAATTAGATACAGTAAGAGATTAACAAAAATAATAAAATATAATAATATTAATAGTACAATAAAAGTTATGTAAATGTGTTCTGTTTCTCTCCAAATATCTTATTATACCATACTCACCCTTCTTGTGATGGTGTGAGATGATACAATACCTAAATGATGAGATGAAGTGAGGTGAATGACTTAGGCTTTATGACATAGCATTAGGCTACTCTTGACCTTCTGACAATATGTTATAATGAAGGAGGATCATTTGCTTTTGGACCATAGTTGACCATGGGTAACTGAAACCATGGAAAGTGAAATAGATAAGGACGGACTCCTATATTTTGAATATGACTATACAATTGCATTTATCAGTGTGTTCTATATTTTCATGTTACTAATTAGCATACTTTTATTTTAGTTTGAAGAACTGTGTTTAGCATCTTTTGTAGGGTAGGTCAAGTAGTGATGAACTCCCTCAGCTTCTGTTTGGGAAAGTCTTTCTCCTTCATTTCTGAAGGACAGCTTTGCTGGTAAAGTATTTTTGGTTTGCAGTTTCTTTGTTGCAGCATTTAGAACACATCATCCCACTTTCTCTTAGTATTCAGTGTTATAGCTGAGAAAACTGCTCATATCCTTATGAGGGGGAGGGGAGTTCCCCTGTATGAATTTTTCTCAGGGCTTTCAAATTCTCTTTGTCATTACATTTTGACTTTTATCATGAGTTGACCTTTGAACAACATGAGGTTTAGGGGTGCCAACCCCTATGCAGCCAAAAAACCGTATATAACTTTTGACTATCCCCAAAACTTAGCCACTAATAGCCTATTCTCCACCAAAGCCTTACTAATAACATAAAGTCAATTAACCCATATTTTGTATATTATATATATACTGTATTCTTATATTAAAGTAAGCTAGAGAAAAGAAAATGTTAAAATCTTAAGAGTAAATACATTTATAGTATTTTAGTGTATTTATTGGAAAAAGTCTGCTAATGAATCAATCCGCACAGTTCAAACCCATGTTGTTCAGAAGGGTCAACTGTAATGTGTTGGTGAAGTCCTCTTTGGTTTGAATCTTTTTGGGGACTTATGAGCATCATGTACCCAGATTTCCATGTCTTTCCCCAGATTTGGGAAATTTTCATCCATTATTTATTTTTTAAAGATTTTATTTGTTTATTTGACAGAGAGACACAGTGAGAGAGGGAACACAAGCAGGGGGAGTGGGGGAGGGAGAAGCAGGCTTCCCGAAGAGCAGGGAGCCTGATGCGGGGCTCGATCCCAGGACCCTGGGACCATGACCAGAGCCAAAGGCAGACACTTAACGACTGAGCCACCCAGGAACCCCATCCATTATTTTTTAATCCATTATTGTTTAAGTAAGATTCCTGTCCCTGCCTGTCTTCTTCAGGGCCCCCATAATGCAAATATTATTCTGTTTTCATGATGTCCTATAATCCACATAGACTCTCTTTATTCACTCTTTTTAGTTGTCTTTTTTCTAATTTGACTGAATGATTTCAAAAGACGTATCTTCAGGGGCACCTAGGTGGCTCAGTTGGTTAATCATCTGCCTTTGGCTCAGGTCATGATCCCAGGGTTCTGGGATCGAGCCTTGCATCAGGCTCCCTGCTCAGTGGGGAGCCTACTTCTCCCTTTCCCTCTGCCTCTCCCCCTGCTTGTGCTTTCTCCCTCTCTCTTTCTCTCTCTGAAATAAAATCTTTTTTTAAAATGTGCAGAGCACTATTAAAAAAAGAAAAAGATGTATTTTCAGTTTCCGATTCAGATTTTGATTGATCAGGCTGGCTGTTGATGCTCTCTATTGCATTTTTCCTTCCTTCCTTCCCTTCTTTTTTTTTTTTTAAGATTTTTTTTTTAAATTTATTTGACAGAGAGAGAGATAGCGAGAGCAGAACACAAGCAGGGGGAGTGGGAGAGGGAGAAGCAGGCTTCCTGCCAAGCAGGGAGTCCGATGTGGGACTCGATCCCAGGACCCTGGGATCATGACCTGAGCCGAAGGCAGACACTTAACGACTGAGCCACCCAGGCGCCCTCCCTTCCCTTTCCTTTCCCTTTTCCTTTCTCGCCTTTTCTTCCCTTTCATTCATTCAAGTTGGGGGCAGGGAGAGGATCTCAAGCAGACTCTGTGCTGAGTGCAGAGCCTGATACAGGGCTCGATCTCACAACCCTGAGATCATGATCTTTGCCGAAATCAAGAGTCAGACGCTTAACTGACTGAGCCACCCAGGCGCCCCCTGCATTTTTCATTTCTTTTTTTTTTTTTAAGATTTTTTTTATTTATTTGACAGAGAGAAACACAGCGAGAGAGGGAACACAAGCAGGGGGAGTGGCAGAAGGAGAAGCAGGCTTCCCGCAGAGCAGGGAGCCTGATGCGGGGCTCAATCCCAGGACCCTGGGACCATGACCTGAGCAGAAGGCAGATGCTTAACGACAGAGCCACCCAGGCGCCACCATTTTTCATTTCATTCATCGTATTCTTTACCATAACTTTTTTCCAGTATAATTAACATACAGTGTTTTATTTGTTTAAGGTGTATAGTATAGTATACCATAATTTATTTGGTCCTTTTTTATATTTTCTTATCTGTTGAAAAAGCTTGTATTGTTTATAATTGTTCTCCTTATTTCATTGAATTGTCTGTGTTTTCTTGTAGCTCATTGAGCTCCCTTAAAAGAATTATTTTGAAATCTTTGACAATTCTTAGATCTGCATTTCTTTGGGGTGACTGATCAATTACTGTGTTCCTTTGGGGGTGTCCTGTTTCCTTGATTTTTTTGTGTGTGTGTTTCTTACGGCCTTGCATTTTTTTTTTTTTTTTTTTTTTTACATTTTATTTATTTGAGAGAGAGAGCGCACAAGAAGGGGGAGCGGGAGAGGGAGAAGCAGACTCCCTGCTGAGCAGGGAGCCCGATGCGGGACTCGATCCCGGGACTCCAGGATCATGACCTGAGCTGAAGGCAGTCGCTTAACCATCTGAGCCACCCAGGCGCCCTAGCCTGCATTTTTGTCTGTGCATTTCATGAAGTAGTTAGTCCCTTCTTCCAGACTTTACAGAAAGGTTTTGGTGGGGAAGATCTTTACCTGTGTGTGGATGTGAGTGCACCGGCTTGGTGGGGTGTGGCAGTTCTGACTACAGTTTGGTCAAGAGGCTTAGTGTCTGTGCAGCTCTGTTTCCTGAGATCAGTGTCATCAAAGACTGTAGGAGTCCTCAATAGCCAAGGCTGTGTGTGTCCAAAGTAGTAGACAGTGCTACTGGGAACCTCCTGATCTCTTTCTCCCACAGAAAATGTTTTGTCTCGTGCCTGAGACCTGGGCACTCAGGTGATAGCCATGGAGCAGTTGCGCGGCTGGGGTCCAGGGTGTATGCAGGGTTGGTGTGAGTGGCGGCTCTGCTCCTGGAATGGAGCAATAACTCCTTTTTTGGTGGAGGGGGCCACTCAGTATATTCTTCTCTGGCAGGTCCCCCATGGTGATAGCTATTGGTTACCTCAGTGCAAAAGCTGCCGGGGTCTTCTGCAGAGCAGGCATATGGGGTCCATGCCTGCAAACACTTGGACACGTCTGCTGGGTAATCTGTGATGTTCTGCCACTATAGCAGGACTTGTTGATGTTCTCTGCAGCAGAGGCTGCTGAGGTGCCCTCCAGAGTAGGGGAATGGAGTGGCATCAGTCCTTTGGCTGACATAGCCCCACCCTTCTTATTTTCTGCCTATATCCAGCTGTCTTCACTAAGCCAGTGTCCCCATCAATCCTTCCTGTGTGGTTATTCTCCTTTTTGTGTGCTCCATTGTGTCACTGTAGTAGTTTTTTTTTTTTTAATGATTTTATTTATTTATTTGAGAGAGAGAGAGCGTATATACAAGCAGGGGGAGTGGCAGAAGGCGAGGGAGAAGCACACTCCCCGCTGAGCAGGGAGCCTGATGTGGGGCTCAATCCCAGGACATTGGGATCATGACCTGAGCCGAAGGCAGATGCTTAACTAACCCAAGTGCCCTTGTAGTATCTTAATTGACTCTTAAGCCTGCCAAAGACAAAGGCTGGTTTCCTCTTGTATTATGCTGACATCACCTTGCTGTCTTTTGTGCTGAATAGCCCGGGATAGTGCTGGCTATTCATTTGTCCTGTTTTTCCCTTAAGACTTGTATCGTCCATGTCCCATGTAGTTGCTCAGGGCTTACACGGAAGAATCCTTTGTGTATCAGAGGATGGGCAGGACTCCAGACATGACAGAGTGGACTCAGAGGGTCATGGTCCTGGTCAATGGATGGAGAGAGTGTTCAGATCACACCAGGTCCCCCATGGTGAACCTGTCTTTATTCACCCACACTTTCATGCTGTTTTCAGTGGCCACACTTCATTTCTACCTTCTCAGTTCCATTTTGACATTTTGCCAATTTGTCAGTTCTCTCATCATTTCTACTATGATTTCCAGCACAGGGATAATCTCCACCTCTCTGGACTCCACATCTCACCCATTTCTCTCACTGTTGCTGTACTCCAGCATTGGCCATGAGATGTTTACACATCCCTAACTTGACACTGAACAGCAGCTAATCTGTTACAGTTGGGTTTTAATGGGCTTGCATGCATGCTTTTACCCAGCCTCACATCAGCAGTAGCAAAGGTCCTGCCAAAGACTCTTGGCAGAGAAATGAGTTGTAGTCCTTGCCTCTTTTTCTTGTCTCATATCCTGTCTTTGTATCCTTCCCCTGGTGAGGTCTCCACCATTCTGTGACCTTAGGGGTCAAATAATGCACAGTGGCTGTTCCAACTGAATTCCAACTGCTGTGTCTGGAAAAGCATGTCATACACTCCTGCCTAGATGAGATGGATGCATATATGTGATGGGCTCACCCCCTCACTATAGTCAACACATATTTCACCAGCATTTCTTTGCGTTCAGGTTGTTGCTGTGGAGCAGACGATACGGAGGCATCTTTTGAACAGAGCACTTCTATAGGTGTGTCACAGACCACGACGCCCAAGGCAGCTCAGTCTTCCCGGAAGACCCACCCCTGTGAGATGTGTGGTCCAGTCTTGAGAGGCATTTTCCACTTGGCTGCGCACCAGGGAAAAGAAAACAGCCAGAAACTGATGAGGTGTGGGGCATGTGCGAAACGATTTTATTTCAACATAAACTCTCAGCAGCAGGAGCAGCACGTGGGAGAGAAACCGTTTAGATGCGCTGTGGACAAGGCCTCTTTTGTGAAGAGCTGCAGAATCCATGATTCAGGAAAGCCCTTTACCTGTGGAGAGGTTGAGAAGGACTTCCTATCTGGCTTGGGGCATCTACAGCAAGAGGCCACACATACTGGGGAGAAGCCACACACGATCACCCAGTGCAGGGCAACTTTACAAAGCAGAAAAAGTCATTACACCTGGGGAGAATTCAAGAAAGCCTTTGGTCCCAAACACACACTTGTTCAGGACCACTGTTTTGTGTGCAATGAATGTGGGAAAACATTCAGGTACAAATCTTCATTTGCTATACACCAGAGATTCCATACTGGAAAAAGACATCATGAGTTTGGTGAATGCGGAAAATCCCTTAGGCAGAGCTCAGCCCTCAGTCAACATGGAAAGACTCACACTGGGTCCAGGCAATACAAGTGCAGCAAATGTGGGAAATCCTTAAGCCACAAATCTGTCCTCATTCATCCCCAGAAATGGCACAATGGAGAAAACAGCTATGTGTGCAGTGAATGTGCAAAATCTTTTAGCCATAGCTCAGTGTTGATTCCATGTAGAGGTCAAACTGGAGAAAGGCCTTACAAGTGTAGTGACTGTGCAAAATCTTTTACCTCTATCTCTGCCCTCAGTTATCATCAGAGATCTCATACAGGAGAAAGGCCTTATGAATGCACTGAATGTGGGAAATCTTTTATCTCTAGGTCTGACCTCCGTTATCATCAGAGAGTTCATTCTGGAGAAAGGCCTTATGAGTGCAGTGAATGTGGGAAATCTTTCATCACTCGTACTGCTCTCCGTTATCATCACAGAGTTCACACTGGAGAAAGGCCTTACGAGTGCAGTGAATGTGGCAAATCCTTTACTCGAAGAAATAACCTCATTATACACCTAAGAGTTCACTCAGGTGAAAGACCTTATGAGTGTAGTGAATGTGGGAAATCTTTTACCTTTAGCTCCAGCCTGCGTTACCACCACAGAGTTCACACTGGAGAAAGGCCTTATGAGTGTAGTGAATGTGGGAAATCTTTTAACAATAGGTGGACACTCATTCGACACCGGAGAATTCACACAGGAGAAAAGCCTTATGTGTGCAGTAAATGTGGGAAATCTTTTACCTGTAGCTCCACTCTCCAGTATCATCATCGAGGTCACCTCGGAGAAAGACCTTATGAGTGTAGTGAATGTGGGAGATCTTTTACCACTAGTTCTGCTCTCCGTTATCACCAGAGAGTTCATACTGGAGAAAGGCCTTATGAGTGCAGTGAATGTGGGAAATCTTTTATTTCTAGGTCTGACCTCCATTATCATCATAGAGTTCATTCTGGAGAAAGGCCTTATGAGTGTAGTGAATGTGGGAAATCCTTTATTCGAAGAAATAACCTCATTTTACATCAGAGAGTTCACACAGGAGAAAGGCCTTACAAGTGTAGTGAATGTGGGAAATCTTTTAACAATAGGTGGACGCTCATTCAACACCAGAGAGTTCACACAGGAGAAAAACCATATGTGTGCAGTGAATGTGGGAAATCTTTTACCTGTAGCTCCACACTCTGTTACCACCAAAGAGTTCATGAAGGTAAAAGGCCTTATGAATGCAATGAATGTGGGAAATCTTTTACCTCCAGTTCCACTCTTCGTTACCATCAGAGAGTTCACACAGGAGAAAGGCCTTACAAATGCAGTGAATGTGGGAAATCTTTTACTTTTAGTGCCAGCCTTCGTTATCATCACAGAGTTCACAGTGGAGAAAGGCCTTATGAGTGCACTGAATGTGGGAAATCCTTTAAGGATAGATCACAATTCAATAAACACCGGAGAACTCACACGGGAGAAAGGCCTTACGAATGCAGTGAATGTGGGAAAACGTTTAGCCAAAAATCTTCCCTGTCAATACACCAGAGAATTCATAATAGCGAACGGTCTTATGAGTGTAGTGCTTGTGGGAAATCTTTTACATCTGTCTCTGGCCTTGGTTATCATCATAGAGTTCATAGGGGAGAAAAACCTTATCAGTGCAGTGAATGTGGGAAATCTTTCACCAATAGCTCAATACTGATTCGACACCAGAGAGTTCACACAGGAGAAAGACCTTATGTGTGCAGTGAATGTGGAAAATCTTTTACCAGTAGCGCTACCCTCTCTTATCATCAGAGAGTTCATGCAGGTAAAAGGCCTTATGAATGCAGTGAATGTGGGAAATCATTTACCTCCAGTTCCACCCTTCGTTATCATCAGAGAGTTCATGCAGGAGATAGGCCTTTCGGGTGTGGTGAATGTGGAAAATCTTTTATCTCTAGCTCCAAACTACGTTATCATCAGAGAGTTCACACTGGAGAAAGGCCTTATGAGTGCAGTGAATGTGGAAAATCCTTCAGGGATAGTTCCCAATTCAGTCAACACCGGAGAGGTCATACTGGAGAAAGGCCTTACGAGTGTAGTGAATGTGGGAAGTTTTTTACACGAAAATCTACCCTCTCTCAACATCAAAGAGTTCACACTAGAGAAAGGCCTTAGGTGTGCAGGGAATGTATAATTTCCTATTCACTGTTAACACTGGAGGGAACTCTGAGGAGCCATCTGAACTGAATCTCAGACATCTAAACATGCACAGTGGGATATCTCTTGGAAGTTTCAGTACTGTAGTAAGCTTGTGTAAATATGTTGCACTTTCTAAGCTGTCCAGGGCGCTTTCTAGATTTAGCTCACTGCTAGATTTTGTGACCAAAGCCTTTTCACAACTCTCCTGCCTGGCAGGTCCACAAAGTACGCATCCGTCACCTCCACAATGTATTCAGTGAAGCTGACCTTTGTTCTCTCATGAATTAGAACAAATTAGTCGTAACCTGAGCCCTTAGGGTCAGTTTCCCCATCTCCTTAAGTACCTTGGGCATGGACCTGAATCATTGATGACCCAGGAAATAAGGGTTTGGCTGGTAGCTTACAGAGAATGACTACCTTTTTCAGGGACATGTTAGTCTCATGTGACACTTGTGATGAGTTTTTTCAGCTTCCAAGTCCGAAACGGTAAATGTCTGCCGCACATTGCTTTGGCTTATGTGATTATCAAGGCCTTACTCTTTAAGTCCTCTTTAATCTTAGATTTCTACTTACTCTATGGGGTAGTTTATATATGGATTTGGGCTCAACAAGCATCGCTGGGTGAACTTTTTAGGAGTCTCAAATTGTCTGTGCTTAAGGAGGATGGCAGAAAATAGCTTGCCAATTTTGACCAAATTTGCATTGCTGCCCCACAACCTCTGAAAAACTGCAGGGCTTTCTGGTTTTCATTTGAGATCTGGATGCTTTGTGTTTTAGGAGTTTCAGTGATGACCCCAAGGAGGGGGCAGTTGGGAGATCCTCAGATGCTTCTGAAAGGAGCAGGAATTTCTTCCCCTTACTCAAAGGAGACATCACAGGGGATGTCAGCACTGTTGAGGGGTTATCTTCTTCAGCTTTACAAACAGCTATGTGCCCTGATGTCCACAATCTATTGGGCTAGGGTCACTGGTTTTAAGACCATAGTGTGCAGGGGAAGCCATAATTGGTACAGAAACACTGGCTTAATAGGATGTGGAGGAGACTGCATCCAAGTAGATAGAATGTGCCTCTTCTAAAAATGGATCCAGACAAGTTTCTGTGACAGTAGAATCTGTGTATACAAATCTCAGGACCTCTAGGCATATTTATCTTGTGTAGGTAGTCATTGTTGGAGAAAAAAATAAAAACTAAAATAATCAAAAGGTTCTGTGGTTTCCTCTCAGTGATGTTTGCCTCAAAGCCACTACCACAGATGCGGGGAAAAAAGGTAAAGGGGGTTCTGTATTTCTGCGATATGGCCCTTGTAACCCAGGAAGCATTCCTGGTGACTTGTTTGGAAATATTCATTATTCTCCACGTTTGCTGCCACTGAGGTAATATCCCCGTAGGCATGAGAAAGAGAGATGGAGTCAGTGTGGGGTTGTCAAACCTATTTTCCAAAAGTGGGACAAAGACATTCTATCTTGAGCCATTTTTAAAGCTTTATTGAGGTATGGTTTATATGTACTAACTTGCATATATTTACAGTATAATTTGGCGAGTTTTGACATAGTTACAAACTTCTGAAACCATCATCATAGTCCTGATAATGACCTTATCTGTCACATTATGCTTACCTCATGTCCTTTTATAATCTCCCTTGCCCCTCCCACCCTTCAGGTAACCACTGATTTACTTTCTCTTACAATAGATGGATGGATACCTTTGAATTTTTTGAATTTATGTTTGGAATTGAGTATTTTGTTTTTCCTTATGTGTCACAATTACTTTGAGATTCATCAGTGATACTATATGAGTAGTCGGGTTTTTTTTTTGCTGAGTAGTATCTTTGGATATACCAGTTTATCCACTTATCTGTGTATGAGGATTTGGGTTTTTTCTAGACTTTGACTATTGAAGATAAAGCTAGTATAAATATTTGTGTTCTTTATGTGAATGTTTCTTTGATCTTCTGTCGGGAACTTATGAGTAAAATGTCTGGGTTACAGGACAGGTAATGTTTTACTTTTGATTATACCTTTTTCATCTTCCCAGCAGTGTATGAGAGTTCCATTTCCTCCATATTCTGAATACTTGGTTTGGCCATTTTAATTTTAGCCTTTTTAATAAGTGTTTAATGTTCTCTCATTTTGTTTTAATTGCATTTCTGTAAGGATTCACTATGGGCATTTTTTCAAATGCTAATTTGCTATCTACAACTTTGGTAAAATGCCTGCACATATCTTTTTCTTATTCTTTGAGCTTCGGCTATTTTCCTTTAACAGGACAATGAAACAAGTGTGTGTGCGTGCGCATGTGCTATTCACAATGGATTGAACAGCTGTAGCCTTTTAAATTTTTTCTGCATTATTAATATGTTCTCCATCACATTCTTTTTTTATTTTTTTTTAAGATTTTATTTATTTATTAGAACGAGCAGTGGGGAGGGACAGAGGGAGAGAGAAAGAGAAGCAGACTCCCTGCTGAGCAGGAAGCCAGATGTGGGACTGGATCCCAGGAACCAGAGATCATGACCTGAGCCGAAGGCAGATGCTTAACCGACTGAGCCACCCACATGCCTCTATCACATTCTTTTTTTAAAGATTTTATTTATTTGAGGGAGAGAGCAAGAACTAGTGGGGGGCAGGTGGGGCGCAGAGAGAGGGAGAAGCAGACTCCCGGCTGAGCAGGGAGCCCGACTTGAGGCTCAATCCCAGGGTCCTGGGATCATGACCTGAGCCAAAGGCAGTCACAACCAACTGAGCCACCCGGAGCCCCTCTCCATCACATTCTCCTTAAGTCCAGTCATTGAAGAATACAATAGAGCCTTGCCTAGTAGTGGTTACCCATTTTCCTGGTTTATCACCACTGGGGTTGGTGGGTTGGAGCAGATGTGGGACAAGGTTGCATCAGTACGGTCTGGGCTTTACTTTGAGCCCCAAAGCCTGGCTAGGGGGTGATGTAGAGGTCATTAATTAGACCCACAGGCACATGCCCCCATCCAGGGCCTCAGTTTCATCCTATGTAAAATGGGAATTAGGAGCTGCCCTATCCCTGGTCCACTGGAAATTGTGAAGAGGTGTCCATTCCTGTATAGTTCTACCTGTGGGGAGCATCCTAGAGCCAGGCACCTACAGCTCTCCCTGTTACCACCACCAGACCGCTGTGCCCCCAGGTATGTCAGGAATTGAGCTTCTCAGGAGCCCCTGATCCAAGTCAGTCTCCAAGACCCACCTGCAGGGAGGAGGGTCTGCACAGTACTGAGGTCTCTGTGGATTCCTGGGACTATCTGGACAACTCCCCAGAGCCCCTTGAACCTCAGTTTGCTGAGTATGACAAAGAAGTGACGATGGTGTTTACCTTGGCCCCTGGGAGCATCAATAAAACTAACAAAACACTGATCACTTACTCATGACAGAATTCTATGGCATTTTTGATCTTGTATATAATGTTTTTATATCAAGTTTTTAATATAAATATTAACATAACTTTCCTTTTCACAGTTCTTACTGTGCTTAGCTCTCAGTTATTGGCATTTATATTGCATTAGTAATATCCTAAGTTTTGTTCATTCTATAGAGTGCCACATAAATCAATATATTTACTGTGAAATTTTGTCTAATCCATCTGTGTGTGACCTAGCTTATTTTCTCTTCTGAATCACTCTGTGAGACCAAGAGCATGCTCACCAATTGGTGAATTATCACAGAAATACTTTGATTCATTCATTCTTTTTTTTTTTTTTTTAATTGAGAGCGCACCCCAGTGGGGGGAGGAGGAGAGGGACAAGCAGGCATCCTGCTGAGCAGAGAGCCCCATGCAGGGCTTGATTCCAAGTCCCTGAGATGATGACCTGAGCTGAAGTCAGATGCTTAACTAACTGAGCCACCCAGGTGCCCTGATTCATTTTCATATGTACTGAGAGAGCTCTTCTTACGGATCTCTGCTTGCCCTGCCAGATTCTCTTCAGACCCTCTTTAGACATATTTGATTTGTGATGCTTAAATGCAAAATGATCAACACCATTAAGGTATGTTATGCCACACACCAGAGATTCTTTTCACATAGCTATGTTTTGGTTCATTAAGAGTCATTTTTTTTTCTTTCCTAAAAATTCAATGCAAGTTTTACTTACTTAAAACCTAAACTGTTTAACATGATGTATACAACAGATGACCACTTGGAAAAACAAGCATTCTTATTTTAATGAATTTTGTTAGAGTGCACTGGAAAGCTTCCAAATACATTTTTAAAACATTCAGTGAAATGTGGCTGATATAAAGTAGAAATGATAAAGTAATAAATATATAACTATGTTTTCTACAATTAGAATGTTTTTTAAACATTTAAAAATTTCAGTCCACTTTAGTTTTGAATGTGTTGAAGGTAAATTTTGAAATCAAAATGAAATTTTCACAAATTAATATATTGTATAGTTGTGTGTATCTCCATATACTGAGTAGTTTTCACAAAAATTGCCTGTTTTAAAGCTTTTCCTAATATGGCTTGTATGGATACTGAAAATATAGTTCTTTTTACATTATATGTCATTTCTGTGATTAAATTTTTTAGTTTTGTATTCTGCATATATTTTTATTTTTAAAAAGTGAAAAGCGTATTTTGTGGTTTTTAAATTGGGGTCTTGTTTTGTAATGACTCGCACATTTCAAGTACAGGTTTGTTAAAAAAGAATTTTTTTTTTTTCTTAAATAATCTTAGGCTTTTTGTTTCCATGTTCAGCCTGATGCAGTTAATTTTCTATTTGACCTGAGATATAAATTGAGATTTTCTTTTTCTTTCTCATTTGCAATCCATCTTAATATTTTATTCCGTTATCTATTTTCTCTACACGTTGATAATCAAATTTAATACATACATGTTTATAAAAGTTTACCAATATATAGATGTCAGGGATGTTCCCAGGCTGTCTCCTGTGTACCACTAACCCATTCTGGTTTCCTTTCCAGAATAAGTTGTTAGATATAAATGTAAGATTTCTCAATAAACTTACATTTATTACCCTTTAGAATACATTTCTTTTTAAAAAATTTTTTAATTGAGGTATAGCTGACATGTAATATATTTCAGATGTATAACATATGATTTGACACATACATCATGAAATGCTCACCGTATGTGTAGTTACCATCTGTCACCATACAAAGTCATTACAGTATTGACTATATTCCCTATGCTGTACTCTTCATCTCTGTGACTTCCTTATTTTATAATGGGAAGTTTGTACTAATTAATACCTTTCACTTATTTTGCCTATCCCCCTAACCCTTCCTCCCTGGCAACGACTAGTTTTCTATGAGTCAATTTCTCTCCTTGGTGGTGGTTTTTTTTTTTAGATTCCACATGTAAGTGAAATCATACGGTATCTTTCTCCATCGGAATGGCAAGATTTTTTTTTTTTAATGGCTGAGTAATAGTCCATTGTGTGTGTGTGTGTATATATATATATCACATCTTTATCCATTCATCTATCGATGGACACTTTGGTTCAATATCTTGTCTACTGTAAATAATGCAATAAATAAAGGGGTACACTTATCTTTTTGAACTAGTGTTTTGTTTTCTTCAGGTAGATATCCACAGGTGGAGCTATTGGGCTGTATCATTCTATTTTTTAGGGTTTTTTTTTTTAAGATTTTATTTATTTATTTGACAGAGGGAACACAAGCAGGGGGGAGTGGGAGAGGGAGAAGCAGGCTTCCCGCTGAGCAGGGGCCCAATGCGGGGCTGGACCCCAGGACCCTGGGATCATGACCTGAGCCGAAGACAGATGCTTAATGACTGAGCCACCCAGGTGCCCCTATTTTTAGGTTTTTTTTAGGAACTTCAATATTGCTTTCCAGAATAGCTGCACCAATTTACGTTCCCACTAACAGGGCATGAGTGTTCCCTTTTCTCCATATCCTTGCCAACGCTTATTTATTGTCTTTTTTTTTTTTAATATTTTATTTATTCATTTGAGATACAGAGAGAGAAAGCATGAGCAGGGAGAGAGGCAGAGGGAGAGGGAGAAGCAGGCTCCTCGCTGAGCCAGGAACCCGATGTGGGGCTTGATCCCAGGACCCTGGGATCATGACCTTGAGACGAAGGCAGACGCTTAACCATCTGAGCCACCCAGGCGCCCCTATTTATTGTCTTTTTGATACTAGCCACTCTGACTGGTGATACCTCGTTGTGGTTTTGATTTGCATTTCCTTGATAATCAGTCATATTGAGCATTCTTTCATGGGTCTTTTGGCAATCTATATGTCCTCTTTGGAAAAATGTCCATTCAGGTCTTCTGCCAATTTTTAACTGGAGTTTTTAGGGATTTTTGGTGTTGAGGTATGGGAGTTCTTTATATATTTTGGATATTAGTCCCTAATTGGATACATCATTAGGAAATATCTTTGCCTTTTTGTTTTGTTGATGGCTTGCTTTGCCATGCAAAAGCTTTTAGTTTGATTTAGTCCCATTTGTTTAGTTTTGCTTTTGTTTCCCTTGTCTGAGGAGACAGATTCAGAAGAATATTGCTAAGGTTGATATCCATGCCATTACTGCCTGTTTTCCTTTTAGTTTCATGGTTTCAGGTCTTATATTTAGGTCTTTAATCCATTTTCAGTTTGTTTTTTTCTGAATGGTGTAAGAAAGTGGTTCAGTTTCATTTTTTTGCCATGTAGCTGTCCAGTTCTCCCAATACCATTGATTGGAGAGACTGTCTTTTCCCCACGGCCTCCTTTGTCATAGATTAAATGATAAGTGTGTGTTTATTTTTGGGCTCTCAATTTGAATTAATAACCTCAGGAATATTAGCATTTTTGTGTGAAATACACAGATTGTCTTTTTGTAGTAGTTGTATTTATAATATCTAATCTTTCTATGTAAAAAATGGCTTGCATCTATATTTATTTGGGTCTGCTTTTCACAATTCCTGATGTTTTTGGATTTCTTTCAATTCTTGTCATATTTCTTAGTATTAATTTGTGTTTCAAATTTTTATTTCATTAAGATATTTTCTCTAAATGTTTAAATAGAAAGCTTCGTACAGGATTACCATGAATTTTTTTTACTTTTATTGCATTTCCATAATTACCTTGTTTAATATTTCATGATTTTAAAAGGATTCTCAGCTACAGAAATGTCAACTTTGAGTACTTCATTTGTTCTAAGTATAATTCATAAATATGTCCCAAGTCTTAGAGCATTGAATATTCCAGACATATATCATCTATCCTCTGATCCGTTATCTCTTAGGACTTCCAGAATAGACACACAGCTTCTCCGGTAGCCATTCCAGTCGTAACTTCTGCACACCTGCTTTTTGTTCCCACATAAAAGACAGCCTGGTGGTTTCCTAACAGTTTTACCAGAGCTTTTACACATCTCG